GGCGGCCGAAAGCAGCCCGGCCGCGGAGTCTAGACAAGAGATTAGCGAGGCTGGAACCGGCAGGAAGAGGCCAAAAGCGCCTTATTTTAGCAATAAGGGCGCAGCTGCAGCTCCGAGGGCGGGGAGGACACAGGAGGCCCTGCTTGTGGGCACGGGGCGGGGGTCAGCCATGGCCCGTCCTCAGCCCTCCCGGCTCCCGACGCCCCAGGAGGGCAGCAAGCCCCCCGCTCTGCCCCAGGCTCCCACCGCAAGCCTCACCAGGGCTGCAGGCCCCAAGGAGAGGGACCAGCTCCGCGGGTGGCTCCCCGCTTCAGCTTCTCCCCCCTCCATGAGACGCTCGCACTCACGTGGCTCAGCAGCCCCTCCGACACGCTCCTCCCGAGGAGAGCTCAGCAAGCGGCCGCAGCGCTTCTCGACTGGATTACGGCTTAGCTGAGTTATTAACTAATAAGCAGGTCAAGTTATGGGATTAAAAAATCCTTTTCATTCTCCCCACTCCGACCCCTTTGTCTCCCGCCTTGTTTCCAGCCAGCAACCGCAGCTGGAGGAAGGACTGGCCCGTTGCTACCCTGTACATCTGGGGGCTTTCCTTCTCTGCCCTGAGCCACCACGTGCGACAAGTCACTTTGCCGGCATTTTCCTCATCCGACAGATTAAAGTCAGCCACCCGCACCCAGCAACATCAGTACAAAATGTTTACTGAGCCCACATCACTACTGCACAGGTCCATCGCACTTCTCGCATACTAATGGAAAAAAACAATTAAAATATGCATCTTCCCAAGTACCGGAGGCACCAAAACACGTACAAAAGGCAAGAGGCCGAACACAAGTCCCGCCACCCACAGAGCTGGCAGGCCAGGGAAAAGCAAGGAAAATTATTGATTTTTTTTTAAGGACTTTTCTTGGCATCTTTACCCCCACTGATTCACAAGGCTTTGGCGGCTCAGGGCAGGACCTGCAGTGGCTCAGGGCGTGCTCACAGCTCTGGTCCAGGGTTAGAGAAAGGAGCTGTCTCAAAGCCAGGTGAGGAGACCAAGCGGCTGCCTCCTCCCTGCTGGAATTACCAGCCAGAGGCTTTGGTCCCCCCGAGTTCACACGGTGCTGGGGGAATAAGCCCAAGTGGAGAGGATCCTGGACACCCGCTGCCAGCGCTCAGCTATGACTGTTCCCAGGATTAACCTCTGGATCCTCTGGTTCCTCACCAGTCCCAACGCTACCCTGCCTTGGATGCAGCTGGGAGGTGATTTGGGGGGATGAGGGGCAGCCACTGCAGTCCTGAACAACCATTTTGGGGAGCTGCTGACCTATGTCCTGTCTCCGGCACCGGAGCGAGTGCGCACAGAGCAGCCACACGTGATGGGGACGCTACAGGGCCCTTTGCACCAGGACAGTCACAAGCCGTGGCCGCGGGAGCTCAGCCAGCGCAAAGCAAAGGATGGGAAGGTCTGGCCAGGACTGAACCAGCTCTAATTTGCGTTGGGTATTTTTATTGCATCTCCGAGAAGACAGCTGGCCGAGGAAGAGGGGAACAGAATCTTTATGCCTTACAAACACAGAAGAGCAACTGGTATTTTAGCAGCAAGGACGTGGCTGTCATGATTGTTGCATCCACCAGTGCCTTCACTCACCTCACGGGCCGTACCCGGCCTGGGCCAGGACCTACAGCACCTGCCGTGGGCTGGATCTCGTCACAGCCTTATTTAAAAATAAGAGCCCTGCTTTACATTGTATCTTTCTCCCCTTTTTTTGGCTCAAAACATCCTCAGGTAGTGCTGATGGTTAGAGGCTAGTGTTGCCCCAGGCACCTCAGTCTCTACTGGGGGATCCTACGGATGGAGAATAGGATCCATCACCTGCACGGCCAGGCAGATCCTTCACCCCAGAGATTTCGCTGTCCTGGAAACCTGCACAGAGGCACTTTTGTCACCATCAAGTCCAACAGCTTTCAATGAACTCGCTGTCCGCCACCTCCTTCGTGCACGCAGGGCTACACCAACACAGGGGCAGCTACGGAGGCCAGGCAGGGGACGCAGGAGCAGAAAATGAGGCAGGAGGTAGACATTGCTCAAAATGTTCAGCAGAGAGAGATTAAATCTTTTTTTCTCCCCAAAACATGCAGAAAAGAATCCCACAGACCAAGCTAGTTAGCTATTTCTTTATCCAACTCGGCTTCACTCCATGTTTTGCTCCAGCTTTATACAAGTAAATCTGTATATAACGTTCCTGATGACCTTACACTCGCAAGGGAAGAAGGATGGCACCACAACCGCACCTGCACACACACAGCCAACGCCATTTTCGGGGTGGGTAGAGAGGAGAAAAACAAAGTCACCACCTTTGTCTAACAGACGCGTTGTAATATTAAATGAAAGCTTAACAAAAGTCTTTTAAGAAAATCCCTCCCAGCCCTAGCCTACCACTCCATCAGCACAGCACATAGCGTGTTTGAGACCTGCTCAGCTCAGCACGTGCCTGAGGGCCAGTTGGCTTTCTTGGGCCAGTTTAACTCATGCTCTCTTGCCAGTCTGCGAGTACCACAGGAGCTGATGCCTCTCAGAAAAGCAGAGCACGCCTGCCGTAGAAAAAGCCCTCACGCAGGTCTTGGGTCCCAGGCAAATTTCTACTGAGAGTTACACGAGAGTGCGACCTGGTAACTTCAAGCCTCAGAGCTCCAGCAATTAAGCAGCACGTCACCATCAACGGCTGTTTAGATGCCGTCAGAGCAAGGAGGTCCCCTGCAAGGAAAGACAGCCGAGTAACGAACAGCTCGAGGTCTTTCCAGAGGGTGCCCAGGAGTTTCCAGATCTCTGCTCGTGTCCTCGTGCCGGAAGTGAAGGGTCTTCATGTACGAAGAGAGGATCGCGGGTGCTCTTCATCCCGTCCCCTCCTATTTTAAGATGATGTGGTAGCTATCATTGGTTTCAGCTGTAAAAGAAGCAGAGCTCATGAGCCACCCGCAACAGCGAAGGAATCCACTGGTCAAGCGGATCGGACACAAGAGCTCCCCAAGAAGTATGGAAGGGACATCCAAGTCAGAGCCCGGGCATTTACACACCTTTCATGGTGTCCAGAACGAAACAGGATTCGTCTTGGAAGTTCTGTATCATCTGAAAGAAGCCGCAAAAGCCAGCTTAGCCTGAGGCTGTATTTAAACAAAGCAGAAGAGTTTCACAGCCCTAAGTGAAGGCTTTGCGTTCCGCCATTCAGTGATGGGCAGAGTACCGAAAGGGCTAGAAGCTGCTCGGGCAGGAGCTTAGTGCTCTGGGAGGTAGGAAAGGCACCAGCCATAAATATTTATTCCTTCCTCCAGCTCTCCAGAGCGGAAGGTTCTGAACCAGCAAACTGAGAGAGAGACCATCGGATTCTGGGATGCAGGTCTGAAAGCAAAGTCCTCCCAGAGCAATTCCCCTCCCTGTTTTTATGGCAAAACTAGAAGAAACCCAAGCATCAAGGTGCGCACGCAGCCTGGACTAGCTCTGGGAGAGCTGTTCATGCCTGATAAACCTCATGGGTTTAAGTGAGGTGCCCCTGGCAGCACAGCAGCATCCCTAGACCTCAGTGATTAGCTCCCAAGCTGTTGGAAACCAGAGGTGACTGCGCAGGGCCCTTCCTGAAGGCCTGCCCACAGGACCCGTTCCCTGCGGTCCCGCACAACCTCCACGGCGGAGCTCAGAGCACAATCAGACACAAACCAGCTGAAGCAACCCAGTGCAAGAGGTAAAAAATAAGGAGCACACAGAGGCTGTTACCTCGTCACTGATCAGCACATGTATCCCCGTCGGACCTTGCTTGTAAATCTGGCTGATCTGCTGGGAAGAGATGCTGAAGAGCTGGGCCAGCTTTTCCGTCAGCTCCACCGCCGTCAGTTCCTCCAGATAAATAGCGTGGTACACTGCGGGGAGAACTACTATTATAGACGCCAAGCACAGCTCCCATGTCTACCCCGTAGGTGCAGGGAGGGTTTAGCTAGTGCCACGCACGCTAGCCTAGGGAGCAGATGCTTAGAGGAGCGTCGCAAACAGGCTGCTCTCTGCCCAGGAACATCACAGCCCTGTTGGGAAGGGACTCTGTGCAGCCCATCAACTTTTCAGCAGGTTAAACACCCGCTCTGCTGCGCCCGACTCACGCAGCTATCATCTTTCCAAGCCCAAGCTGCTAAATCTACACGCGATTGCAGCGCGTCCCTGCTGTCTGCTCTTGCTATGTGGCTGCAGCCGTACCCTAAGCTGCATCAGCATCAGCTCCACAGTAACCTGGCTGTCATCAATGTCCTGCAATGCTTGCTCTGCATTTATGCAGTCCTTGCCCCAAAAAGCTGCTATTTCATATATATGAAAAAAAAAAAAAAGCTGCTATATTTCATATAGCATCAGCCGAACAACTTTTTGGACCGTTCCTGGCGATTTTCAATCCCAGCAGGAAAGGAAACACCGCCCCAGCACCTCCCCAGAGCCTCCCCTGTTGCCCCACTCCCACGAGGCAGGTCTCTGGGGGGAAGCGAGAAGATCCGAATTGGAGCAGGGCAAGGAAAGGACGAGCTGTTTGCTTTTGCACTTGCTGCTCCAATCACGGAGGTGGATAAACCGGCGCCTGGCTGCTCCGCAAATGTAGGTCACTCATTGTTGTCTGGGCAATGCTGGATTCTCACAGGAGCTATCATTTGTCAGCATAGAGCAGGCAACATGCCGACAGTCAGATTTGCAGCCACTCATTTGGTGGGCAAGGAGAAAAATCAGCTGGGTAGGACCAGGGCAAGTAAAAAGGGTTCGCTGCGATCTTTTGGCACCCTTACCAAAGGAAAGCGTGCGCAACCCCTCGGTTTGGGTACAGAGCCTGCATTAGGTTGCAGGTGAGCTCACACGTGAGCTCGCTGCCTCCTTGCAGCAAAGGGACAAGGATGACAGCAGCCAACACGAGGCATAGCAGCTGAAAACAAAAGCCACAGACCATCTTCAAGCTGCTGTATGGGCTCAGTGGGGTCTGGTAACACAAGCAGCCCTGGCTGCAAGAGGGGCTTTTTGCCAGCCCAAAATCCATGGGGCAGTGGTGTGGGGACAAGGGGATGAAAGGCCACTGGAGCTGAGCACCCGTGGGCAGCAGCAGTGGGGCTGGAAACAGCCCCCACTGCATTTCTATTTGCTGAACCCCCAGCCGTTACCTTCCCCCTCGCCCTGTCAGCAGCAACCCAAGCCCACGTGCCCCCAGCCAGGCTTCAAAGCCCTTACCAAAAAAAGTACTGGTTACTGTGTCCCCGTCCTCGTGTTTCTGCTGGAGGTCCCTCAGCTGCTGGGACTCCTGACACACGTAGATGGTCAGTCTGGGCCGCACCATCCTATGGGCAGAGCAGTCAGTGAACACCATCAGATTTGCTCAAGGACACCTCTAGTTCCCAACACGTTGCCAGAGCTCTTCCCTCCCCAGTATCCTCAGAAGGAAAAGATGAGATCTATGAACTCATCTTGAAGCAAAACCATCGTGGTCCTCCCGACCTTGTTGATGCAACAAAGGTTTTTCAGAGAAGGGGATGAAGTCGGCAAGGGGACGCGGTGCCAACTGGCTACCAAGCAGCTAACTTGGACATTCCGCTTCCGAGGACAGAGCGGCCACGGGTCAGACCGAGCTCTGCTGGTTAACACGCACGCTCCTTGTTCACAGAGTCTCATTTTGCAGTGCAAAAGCCGACAGCGTCTCCTGCCCTCCGTGCCCTTCTCCCCAGCACAGCGCGACCACGTTCCCCTGCTACCTCCTGGCCATCGGAGGCAGTACATTAACCCCCTGGAATGCTTCCCACCCGCGCAGCTCTCGCTGCCCCGTATCAGAAACGTGTGCCGATGCCTCCCCAGACCTTCCCTCCGGGATACAGCCCACCCTGTGCCCTGCGCCTCTCCCCCGGGCTGCAGCAGCGCCTTCTGAAACGCTCCAGCTCAGACGGGAGGTCAGTTAAACACCAGTCCCTGCTTCTTCAGGGCGAGGTGCAAAGGAATATTCCCTGCCTGCGAAGGAAATTCCACTGAGAGGCTGTTCAGAGGGCGGAGGAAACAAGTACTGTATCGGCAGGACTTTCTGGCTTGTGGCTTGGTTCTCTGACACTCAAAGAGTAAGATAATTTCTAACGCTTCTCTCCCACGTGGATTTTCTTCCCAGATTGTCTCTGGAGCAGTTACCCTGCTGGCTAAGTTATCAAATTCGACTGAAAGAGGTTCAGGAAGGTTAATGAAACTCTGTTCTCTCTAATAGCAAGAGCCAAGCAAACAGGCTAAAACAAATACAATTTACCTTCCATCCACAACCAGCTTTTAAGCAAACAACATACCGTCCTTTTAACGCGTTGAAGAGCCTGATGCCATCCGCAGGGCCACAGATCTGGATAACGTCTTCTCTGGTCAGCTTCAGTAAGTCTGCACCTACAGTTTTAAAAACCAAAAGGAGAGAAAAGTCACACAATCCAGCCCGAAGTGTCTGGGATGGGGGGGACTCCGGGCATCGCAGCTGCAGTGGCTTCCCCTCCTCCCGCTCACAGAGCTCACCCTATTCCCAAATTGCTTCTGCCTTCTGCTAACAACCTCCCTCTTGCTTCCCCCAGAAAGAATCTCGTAAGATTTTTTCCCAGATTGCTTTTGCAAGAGGGGGTTTTGGTACAACCCTGCATCCCGTATTATCATTTACGGCCGCTACCCAGCGCCTCGGTAACCCTGGAGGCCGTATCGCCAGGGAAGGAGAGGAAAATAAATACGAAGCATTTCTTTACACACAGTGCTTTCCCCCAGATCAGCATTTCTCAGTTTGTTTTAAGACTGGGGGGTGCTGCAAGCTCCTGGAAGAGAAACCACCCCAGCCCCCACTATTTTGCCAGTTGAGAGCGAGGTGAGAAACGAGAAACGCAGCTTTCAGGAAGCCAAGTTTTATTGTTACAAAAAAATAAACGTTTTTTAAAATCTCATATATTTGCAACGGTAACACGAAGACAGCCTCAGGAGCAAGAGGAGGCAGAGTGACTCGGCACAGAGAAGGGGCAGACATGGAGGGAATGTCAAAACCTACCTGAGAAGTTTCTGAAAAGCCGAGAAAAAGTGGAGAAGCGGTTTCGGTGCAGCCACTGCTGGGCCTCCTGGGGTGTGCTGGTGGGCAAGAGGTTCTGCAACGTAGGAAAAGAAGGGTCACAGCCTCAGAGGTGACGTGGAAGCATTTCCACTGAGGAACGCACACAGGTCAGCTCAGTCAGTGTTTATCATCACCATCTTAAATCGAGACCCTAGTGATCCAGGCTCACAGCACATGGACAATAAAGGCTGCAGCCTGGACAGGTTTTGATTTAAAAGGCTTCAGAGGGACAGAGAAAGAGGAAGGAAGCAAAGGAAAAAGCACAGTGAAGATCAAGGCAATAAGTAAAGGTCACAGTGAGCTACAAAAAGCTTGCTCACAGCTCCACATCGCTGTACTGGACATTTTTCAGCCCGTCACCTCTTTTTCCAACTAGGAGTCAAAAAGAAGTTATAACTCCCCAAAGATGTTAAACTAGAGCAGTCCCTTCCCCAGAGAACTACAGCCACCCACGACCGCGCCCCCGCTCCCTCCCCAAATCCCCTTTTCTGACCTGTGCACCATCCTTACCACAAGCATAAGCTCTGAGGTGTGACTTACATCTGCGATCGGAGGGGGTGGCTCGGGCTGATGGTTCGGCGAGCCATTGCTAGGTTGGGGAAAAGAGCCAGACAGAGCAAAACACGAGGTTAAGCATCGCTCTTCCCCTTCCGGCACGGGATCCCGGCAGGCAGCAACCACCACCCTCCAAGTCCCATAGCTGAGACCACTGAAACACAGGGACAGACAACTACGTGGCTGCAGCAACACCATCCCTGTTGCAGTGCGGTACTTTGCAAGAACGAACGGCTTATGCCGGAGCATTAAGGCAACGGGGAAAGAGCGAAGCAGGCTGGAAGGTGTACTGCTGATCAAATGCATACAGGCTTCTCGTGCAAGGGCTGAGCTTTGCTGCAGCCAGGAAAGGTAGCTTTCAAAAAGCTTCAAGGGCTTTAATTTGATTTTCCCCCACCGACACAGCCTCTTAGGCTGCTTCCACCCCCGTGCGCCTTGGAATCACCGATCACCGCCAGCGCAGACACCTCAATCTCTCGCGCAAGGCAGAGATCAATAATAGCCAGCCAGCCTCTTCTCCGGACTTACCCTTCGCCAATGGAAAAACTGCTGTGGGAACTGTTGAAGCCGGGGGATGGCGTGTTATTGACGTACGTTATCTCTGGCCAGGGAGAACACTGGAAAGGAAAACCCAGCAGAGTCACAGGGTTGCTTTGAACAAGCACGCACATCTGCTCCGGTCAGCACAGGTTAACAGCTATTTGCCGACCAACAACCGACTACAAAACAGAATTCAAGAGTAGAACTCAAGAATAAAGCAGGGGATTAAAAGAAGCCATGCCAATTCCCTGCAGCTGGTCACAAAGCTCAGATTTAGCAATTCTTAACCTCAAAAGGCCAAAAGTCACAAAATTCAAATGCAGGGAGATCTAGGATCTAAACCATTGCTCTGGCGCTGGGCTGACACACACGGCGCCCGCCAGCCTGGACGCCTCCGGGCAGCAAGCCACGCAGCGCATCGCGCCTGCATCGGGCACTGCCGCGCGTCCCCGAATTCACTCGGGGCAGGACGAGGGCTCCCTCCCCAGGGCTGTTCAGCACCGTCCCCTCAGACGATCGCATTTTAATAGACCTACACTTTCCACTACCACGGGGAGGAAACAATGGCGTTTTCTGCCAGCTCACAACCTCGGTGGCCAGTTGCCACATGGGCAAAATGAAGCTTGCAGGGAGAAATAAAAATCTTTTATTAGATGATCTATCACAGTGTGGAAAAATCCATCATGTTTCCAAGCCCTTTTTCGGGTCTAGTAAGAAACACCTCCTCTGCCTACAAACTTTATCTTGCTTTTGTCTTGCAGCTATTAACAGCTTGGCCAAACATTTCACAGCAGAACAGCCAGTTCCTTGCCACCTGCGAGCGAGGCAAGCCAGGTTTCGTTAAAACAACGATGCCAACCACTGCATGAAAAGAGCACCCCACCTCTGTGAGTATCGTAGTTTCATATGAAGGCTGGTATTTCTCTTTCTCATGAGGTGTTCGCTTCTCCATCTTTTCCCTGTCTGTCTTCTGCTTCCGATCAGCTCCTTTGGGCTGGAAAGGAGATATTCCTGTTAGAACAGAAGCATGGCAAGGGCAGCAGCAGGCGGCTGGATGGATGTACAAGAAATGTAAGAATCAGAAAAGGTGACTCACTCACTTGTTGCTTTACAGAGGGAAAAGGAAAAGGGCTGGCACTATCTGCACAGAGAATTAACTACGGTGACAGCACTGCTTCTGTAACAACCCCAGTACCCTGATCTACCCACACCCCTAAAGTGGGGTCCAGAACATCTGAACAAGGAGGTGAAACATTTTTCTAAAGAAATTTCTCCCGACAGCGTATGTTGGCTGTAAGGGGCCAAAGGCCAGTTTCTGGTGTCACATATCTGAGCTGTGTCTTCTGCACCTTCACCAACCACTTTGAGAGGCGGCATTTCAGTGGCACAAACTGCACCAGAACATGAGAGCGCTCAGTTGTGTCCTTGTTTTTGCCACGACCTTGAAAAACCGTGCACTTTCTCACACGCAAGATTAAGATGATTTTACTTGTTGCCTTTATCAAATGCCCAAAGCCCTGGAGAAAGCAGCAAGAGAGCGCCGTTGTAACCACCACAGCTATCCCGGTGCTCCCCTTGGCAGAATCCTGAAGAAATTCCCTTAAAACTTGGCTGCGCACGGTCTCTGCCTGCACTCATAAGCGAAAGGAATTTGGCCTTGGTGGACCAACACAAGTTGCGTGCCGACACGCGGATGCCTCCCGAGTGGATGAGTGCACCCATGGCACCAGTGGGGAAGCTTTAGGACTGTGAATACAGCCCTCCCGCTCCCCCAGGCTCCAAATCTCCAAATCTCTTTTCCTCTGGACAGCAAAGCTGAGACCTGAACAAGCTACCACCACGTTCCAAGCTGGGCAAGGAGGTGCTGCTTAGCTGTGACTTGATTAGGCAGTTTCTGCCATGAAAATCTAATGGTTGCTCTTATCTTACCACGGTCGGCGCTGCTGCTTCTGGCAGCTAGAAAGGATCTGTGCTCCAGGCACCAACGAGCCTGGGTAAGGGGCCCTCAGCAGCTGTTTTGAAAGCACCGAAATGCTCCCAGCTCTGGGGGGGCAGAGGGGAGAAAGGCAAGAGCAGGGCACGAGCCTGAATCACGTTAACCCACAAAGGACACGCTGCAGCGAACAGATCTCACGCAGGCACAGGGAAACACGCACGGTGTTGAGTCTGCCGCCCAAACAGCAGCCCTGACCCCAGGAGAGCAGCTGCGTCAGACGAGCAGGAGATAAAGCTGAGACCATCAGAGATCATCTGCAAGGGAGACCGTGCCCTGAAGCCACAGCTTGACTGCTTTGAGTTTTCCTGGTTCAAGGTCAGAGACAAAAAAACCCCAATCCAAGCCCCATGCCCTGGCACAAAACGCTGAAGCTCAGTAGAAACGCAGCGCCAGATGCCTCGCAATCTCACTATCCTCCGGGTGCTTTTGTCCAGCCTTTTACCCCCAACTCCGCAGCCATCCGCTCAGGCTGTTTGCATCGAGATGGCAGCCAGAGCTGAAACAAGCCCTAACAAATCACACCCCTGCCTTCAAAACGTTATAATCCGAACGGGCAAAAGGGAAGAGAGGGAAGGGGAAAGATGCCAAGTCAAGCACAGCGGGGCACGCTGCCCAATATCCCGCAGCAGCTTCACCGGCAGAACTGCAAAACAGTGCAGGCGCCCGGCCAGGCGACGGACCCCGCTGCGTGCCAAGTGCCCCTAAAGGGAGGACAGAGGAGCCACGGACAAGATTTTGCGTGGTGCTACAGGGAGGATGGGGTAACGGAGGCAACCTCAGCGTACCAGACAGCGTGGGCACGGCGTGTCCCTGCTTATTCCCTGCGGAGCCGCCCCCGCGACACAGCACCTGGCCACTTCTCGGCCAGGCTGCGGCTGCCACTGCCCGGTCGTGGCTTTGGGTTTCTGCAAACCGTTTCGCAACAGGGACCAGACACCCGCGCCGCTGGAGAGGCAGGATCCAGACGGACCATCAGCAACAGGTAGTAATAAAGTGAGGAGCTTACACACACACTAGAGCTCCTTGGAGGATCTCCCAAGCTGATAAGACTAGACGTGGGAGGTTTCAGCTGCGGCTGCCACTGCCCGGTCGTGGCTTTGGGTTTCTGCAAACCGTTTCGCAACAGGGACCAGACACCCGCGCCGCTGGAGAGGCAGGATCCAGACGGACCATCAGCAACAGGTAGTAATAAAGTGAGGAGCTTACACACACACTAGAGCTCCTTGGAGGATCTCCCAAGCTGATAAGACTAGACGTGGGAGGTTTCAGGCAGAGGCAACAACCACCCACATTCTCCCTGTACGTTGTTCTTGGCTTACTTGTTTTGTAGCCTCAATGGCAACGCAAGACCAGAAGGACCGAGAGGCCCTTTTGCTGGCAAGCTCAGCCACTGTCCTGCACCTTGACATTCGCTGGGGCTGCAGCGTGAATCGGGGCTGACTCCCAGTTTGTTTGCTGGTGTGGAAACGCCACCAACAGGCTGAGGTACCTTGAAGACCTTGATCTGGCAGCTGGCAGAATGCAGATGCTCTGTGTACTCGCCGTTCTCATTCTCCTTAAATGTGTCTATCTGGACCCGAAAAGGTACTCCCTTCTCTCCTCCATGCTTCCGCATGGTGAACTCCGTGCTGATACAGTGAACCTGGGGGAAGGCAAGGCATCCGGCGGTCAGTAATCCTGCCGTGTGCGACTGACCACAAAACTTCCCATTCCCCTCGTGGGAGCCAGGACAGCGCTCACGTGAAGAGCTGCCTGGGGAGAAGGGCGGAATACAGAGCTGGGATGGGATCACATCAAGCACCCCCAGCATTAAGGAGTTAAGGGGATGCCACAGCAGAGGCAGAGCCACATTTCTTCCAACAAGTTTTGCAACCTCTCAACGTTACAAGCAAGCTCCGGATCAGCAGGGCAGGGAGTTCTGCTGCACCAGCCTCCACGCGCTGCAGCCTGTTTATTTTAGGTGGGAGGGCCAGATTTCCAAGAGGTATTTTAGGTTTAGGCAGCTGTTGACATGTGCAAAAGCATCTAAGCAAGATGGAAACCCAAATCACAAAACCAGCAGGACCTAAACCACCACAAAAATGTGTCAAACAACTTATTGGTGGTCAACTGTGCCCATGCCTTGCTAACACATGAACTGCTACTCTCATGCATCGCTTGAGGCAGGAGGCAGGGTGTATTTTAGTTGACATCCTTCTACCACTGTAACATCTGGCTGCTATTTCACTGCTCTGAGTGAAAAAGAATAAAAACAAAAGCACCTTCTTCCCCTTTGGAAAACTTATTTTTACCCCTAGACACCCGCCACAAGAGGAGTTTCCTCACTTCTTCTCTTTTACCTGGATAAACACCGAAGTTCTCTTTGAAGGATCCCATAGAAACTCCACTGTGTTGAGCTGGGTTGGGTTTGCTCTAGGGTCAATGATGCCCACGGACATTGGGATATCTGCAGGGGCACACATGGAGAACAAGCTGCGGTTTGTAGGAGAAGGAAGAGATTCGCAGGGAACGTAGGGAAGAACCAACAATGTCTCTCAAAGCGCAGAATCGTGACAGCACTTTGTCCCTTAACGTCAAGGGACCAAGAGCCCAGCTGGAGGCACTTCAGGCACCCACACCTCCTCCAGCCCCAGCCAAGGTGCTGGCACGGGGACTCACCTATGTCCAGTATCCTGTCCCCAGGCCTGTTCCACCGCCAGCCCTCCAGCTGCTGATGCTCCGTGTACTGCAGCCGCCGGTCATGAAACACCACCCGGAAAATGCTCTAGAGGGGAGAAACAGTCAGTGCCTGGAGCTGCCCTGGGAAACGTGACAGTCTTCAAGCTGTGGGGCATTTCCCAGTGCGAGAAAAAGGGCCGAGAGGGAAGCAGAGGATCCTGAAGGCTTCATGAAGATGCCAAAGCAATAAAAGCAAGCTCAGACAGACCCTTGAGACAGAAGCATGAAGGTGGCAGCTTATCCTTCCCAAAACTAAAGCCATCACTTCTGGCTCAAGCCCAGGCCCCGTGAGACTGACTGGGCACCACCAGCCAGGTTGGGCTCAACAAGGTGGGAGAAAGGGAAAAGAAACTCCCAACCAAGCCAGACTTATCCCACACGTGCTGTCACAGAGGCTGCTGCAGGAACGCAGGACAAGACCTCGCTGGCTGCTCCCTATGGCATGGGGTGGCCTCAGCTGGACACGCGTACCCGTGCTCTCCGCCTACCTTTACCAGTTTCCCATTTATCTCGGGCAGCTCCCCAATTTTCCTGTTGTCCAGCATCCGGATTTCATAGGACTGCCCTGAGAGGCAAAAAAGACAAGGGCACCTCGCGGTTAGTTGGGGATGGACCTTCGCTGCTGCCCCTCCTCTGGCATTTCGGCATTGTCTTCTGCCACACTGGACATGCCGCTTGACCTTGCCATGTTTTAGTGCAGGGTCATACAAGCATGAGCCATCAGAGCCACAGCTGTAACGTCCCTCTCCAGGAACAGCATCCTCCCCCTTCCTGCAGCAGTACTTTCCAGGAATTACCCTCATTAACCCAAGGCCAAGGACAGGGAAGAAATCGATTACACAAGCTTGAGCTGGCTTTGGTCGCCAACCCTGATCTTCCAGTTCTACTTGAAAGCAGCGGGTACAGCTTGAACCTGTAAAACACACCCGCTGCAGAGCACCCCAGCGCTGGTACACCAGTTAACCACCTTACATCACGCAGATTTTAATTAGGTTAAATCCTACAGGTGGTTCACGCCACGGGCAGGCAGCAAGGCAAAGGAGCCGGCGCTTCCAAACAGGAGCAATCTGGAGTTTACTAATCGAGGAGCTTTCCATTCCCAAAGGGAAATTTCCAAAGGCAGAATTCTATTTTTTTAGGGTGTTTACACGAGGCGCATGCAGCCTGCTGAGGGCACGGGGCTTCTCTCACCTTGGTTGAGATAGGTGAGCGTTTCGTCGTGGAGCTTGACGGCGGGGGAAGTGGCGGCACACAGCACGTACTGAAAAGGCAGAATTTTGTTCTCGTTTTCGGGAGGCAAACTCGATTCTTCCTGCTTGAAGATGGGCAGGGCAAGGACGTCACTGCGAAGAGATTTGTCAGACAGATTCATTTCAGCTTTGGCTACAGAGAGATGATGTGTTTGGTATTTAATTCCTCCTCCTAGGAAGAGCTTTGAGCTTCTTTTTTCATTAAAAAAGCACATACCCTGACATCTCTCTGCAGAACTGCAAAGGAGCATTAAAGCAGACCGAGTAGCCTGAGGACTTGACACTCTTGCTATAGCTTTGTCCGAGTTAGCCTCCATACCCACCCAAACCCCACGCGTTTCTTGCTTCAAAGCCGAGAGACAACAGAGTTTGTGTTTCAAACTGAACCCCAACTCCCCTGGCAGCACGACTCCTGCACCACTTGTGCGTCAGCGCAGAGCTGCTGCAAAGACAGACACACAGAATGACATACGTGTCGCACCGATAAACGCCCGTCCTCTTCCTCACAGAACTGGCCTGCTCACCTCTGCCAGCAAACTGGCCGCTAACCCTTTCCCCAGCTCCAAGCGGAGTGGCCAGGAGCTCATGTGCCCTCCACGAGAGGCTTGGCAGGAATTTGAAGTCTTGCTCAGGTCGAGGTTGCCAATTTTTTTGCCATGTGCTTGTAAAAGCCAATTTTTTTTTTGCTCTGTGCTTTTAAAAGCTCTCCAAGGCCCCAGCGAACCAGGGTGTCAGGCAAAGCGAAGGCAGAGACCTCAGGGCACGTGGGACAGGAGGGACGCGTGGTCGGAGCGCCAAACCCTCCCTCCCGCAGCTGTAACCTGCTGCACGACACACACAAACATCTCCGTGGAGCAAATCCTGCAGGCTCTGACATGGAAAGGGCCCGTCCAAAACGAAGGCGGCAGGAGGTGGAACCCCAGCTTTCCCCAAACCCATCAACAAGCCCCCAGACTCGAGAGCCCTTTTGCTGGGCACCACACAACCAGCCAGCCCTGACCCAAGCCGAGGGCTCGGGGTGCCCACAGAGGTCAGAAGACGCCGCGCATCACTGGCGGCACAGCCCGCGCCGTGGGTTCCCACGCCACGGGACGTGGGAGAAACCAGACCCAGGTTTCCGGACAACCGCAGGCACCTCTTTTACACCTCAGAGGTCTGCCTCTTGCCGAAAGCCGCCACGACTCGGGAGGAACTGCCCTGGGGAGCCGTCAGGATGGCTTCACCACAAACCATTAACCTGCAACAGCCCAGGCACCTTTCTGGCTACCGGGTTATACGGGATGAGTTACATGGGAGCTCCACGCCGCGCCAGAGCAGCACGGAGCTGCTCCAGCTGGCACCAGCTTGGGCTCGTCACCCTCTGGATGCTGTCACGCCGCTCTCGGCGCCGGCTGGGAAAAGCGAGGCTGCCAAAGCCCCACGCTACCAACTTCTCCCAGGTGAAGGCTGTCTCCAGGTCTTCGCGATTATGCAAAAAGCTTGCCGTCTCCACTCCCCTCCGATCACAGACACTTTTCCATACCCAAAAGGCCACCGGGCAACAAGAACTTGCTGAATAATGTTAATTTAAAAACCATCAGCGATATCCCTGAGCCTATGGACACATATTTAACAGAAATTGTTTCAGAAGCTGACTCTCAGCAGTTGTTTTGAGCCACAACAATGGCCAAGAGCGATTACTCCATAGCGCATAAACCAGAACACGCTCCCACCCATCCACACGAGCAGAGCCCGGAGCAAAAGCAGAGCCTGGGCAAACACGCTTGAGCACGGCCGCGACCGCAGAGCTGCGGATCAGCTACCGGGGCCACCCAGCACCATCCCAACACCCCCAGGTGAAACACGGCGTGGGGACAGAGCTATTCGGGTCCCTTCGAAGGGCGGTCGCGAAGTGCTAAGCCCCGCTGAAGAGCCGGGTTGCCTTCCCCTCCCGTTACAGGCTTTGGATACTCGTGGGTGTGCAAGGAAGAAGTTCAATCAGCATTTTTTTCCCTTTAGTTGAACATTAAAAACCTTTCCCAAGGAAAAACTGGACTTGTCTGGCCAAATACCAGCTCCCACCCTAACAGGGCTTTAACCCTTTGGTCTCCAGAGACTAAATTATCCACCAGCGCTGTTCAAGGAACACCTATCACTGCTGCCCAAACCCGAGCAGGAGAGCCAAATCCCAACTTATCAGACATTACACAGAGCCGCGCGGGTGCCCCGGTCTCGGCACTGACGATGCATCAGGCGCATGTACACAATTAGGCAAATCACACAAGCCGGAGGATGAACTTCCCTGCAGCTCCATCTCATTAGCAGAGGAACAGCGTTTCCTCCCGCAGGAGGATTTCTCGCCCAAGCACGCTGCCGAGACAGGACAAAGCACGGATCTTACCAATCCCCGTTAGAAAGCACAGGGCGTGAGGAGGGGGAAGACCAGCACTAAGCCGCTGCGCCCAGACAGACGGGGAAATTAATTGAAAGGCTACGCCCTGCACAAATTCTCCTGGCAGCTGGAGGAACGCAGGATGCACTTCTGCACGCATGAGCGCTCGTTTTCCTCGCAAGCTTCGACACGGCAGTGCTTCAATCCCATTTCTGCAGCCTCGGGAGACCCCGGGTTTTGCTTTCTTTTGCTTTGCCTCGCACAAAAACAGTCAGGGTGAGAAAGAGGCAAAGCTCGACTGACCTCGCCGCTCGGAGAGCCAGCACATCGCCGTCATCCCGGCTTTCGCTCACTCTTCCCGTGCACGCGAAGCTCTCACGCGATGCTGGATCCACGCTACGCAGCACAGTGCTCTGCTGTAATATCACAAGCTGCTTTTTCAGGGCTCCAGGAGCTCCACATGGCCACTACGACCGCTTGGATGCCTGCTAAGAGGAGCGGCAGAGCCGTCCCTGCAAAACCTCCCCAAATCCAGCCTCTAGACTTGTGTTCGCCAAGACCCTGCATAACCACAACCCAAATCCATATTTTATTGTAGGTTGCAAAAGGGGAAAAAAGAACTTAGTCACATCCCTGTATTTCTGGAACAAGAGTCCAACCCAATTAATCAGGAATAATCATCAAGCAAACGATGGTTTGCTTTTGCAAGCAGCTACTGGGGAAGCAGAGCTGCTTTCGGTGCAACCCCGCGTGCACGGACAGGTTGGTAGAGCATCGCCGCGACAGCCCTGCCTGCGGGGAGCGATCCTTCGCCATCGCAACGGCCGTGGGTTTTGCCAAGAGCCCCTCGGCTGGGACCTCCGTTCGTTCAGACGCCGTTACTTGTCTGTGCTATAGGACCCAGGTAACAGGGTCAGCTTTATGCATCGCAGGGCGCAATAGAAAATTAACTATTTCTAGAGACAACGTGGTTATAAAACAGCAAGGGAAAGCTCGGCAGCTCCTGGGCCTGGCGTCTTCGTGGCATCTCCAGGGGAAGGACAACCTCAGCCACCTGCAAACGGCAGCAAAACGCCGCAGCCACGGCCGAGACCTGCGAGGCGATTCGCAGCGGTACAGAAAGCACTTTGTTAATTTGCCTCCCTGCTAGTCCCACGCTGCCATTGCCCACCAAGTTCAAGAACAAACGTTTTGTGGGTTGTCTGGGGAGAGCCAGGAAGCTGTGAGTCCTGCAGGTACCAACGTCCCACGAGCAGCCCCTTGCGACATCCCCGCGATGCCCAGCGTGGCCAAAGCGAGCACCCGTCAGCAGATTCTTCTTTAGACAAACCCATGCACGGTCCTGCCTGCTCCAAAGGCACCTGGAGAAGTTCCTGCAATGCCTGGGGACACCCTCCCTCTAAAAAAAAAAAGCAGTATTTCACTGTGCAATTTAACATGCTTTTAGGGAAACACACTTCACTTAAGGCCTTTGGTTCTGGGGTGGGAGAGAATCTCCTGGAAAAGAGGGAAAAAAATAATTACAGAAAAACTCTGCGGATGGAAGCATTCAGTCAATGCCCCATTATCACCTCCAAAGCCACCCCCGCTCTCCTAAAAACCTAATTCCAGGGAACAACAGTAACGCCAAGAATTCAGGCTCGTTAACAAACGCAAAGCACAATCCTACCATGCAACTCAAATGAGAAAAAGCTCCCAGCCGAGCAACAACTCATCTCCAGCCACCACCTACCAGCACTCGTTCCCAAGGTAATAACGTGCCTCTTCCATAGGCAGAGGGGATGAAAGCGGAAAACCCCGACGGGGCAAGCACAGAAAAGCCAGAAACACGCTCAAAACCCAAGGTGCCTGTTGAAACCTTTCCCCGCTTCCCACGACATGGAGAGAAAATGTCAGATGTCAGGACAGGAAGGTCGGCGCGCTCACCTACGGGGGCACACGCTCTATTTATGGGCAGCGCAGGTCAAGAAAAGCCTCCGAAAAAGAGTCAGGTTTCAGACGACCGAGCGAGCCCCGCAGAGAGCGCAGCTCGGCAGCAGGTCGGGCTCAGAGCAGCAGCACAGCCACCAACACGGAGCTCAAAGCCCTTTCGCACTGGTAATACCAGCGTGGAAAAGCTTTGCAACCGGTTTGGTGCACGGCACGGGGACGTGCAGAGCCGTGGCCTCGGGAAACCTCGGCTCAAACCTCCGGTGCTGAAAGCCGGTGCCCAGCTGGGTCAGCTGTGGTAGGTAAAGGATGTAAACGCTTTAAGCTTGCAACTGCAAGATTTCCTTGTGCAATTAAAACTTCGATGCATGGCCAGCGGGTTGGTGTTGCTATTGCCAGGAGAGGTGACGGACGCGTTCCCTCTGAGCTCGCACACCTTTGGGACTTCGGGGTTTTTTCCCCAAGCACTCCAATTAAACAAACCCCAAAGGTCATGACAGATCCTAAAGGCGGTCAGGGGTAACTTTGGGAAGGTGCTGGCTCTCCTCGTCCCTGGAAGGAAGGAGAGGGAGGCTGGATGAGAAGAGCTGCTCTTCCACCTCCCCTGGAAAAGGGCAGGGGCTGGAAGTTGCTTTCCAGCCTGTTTTACCGTAAGCAATCACCCGACAGGTCATTTTTAGTTCTGACTTTTACCACTTCCAATTGCAGCACCCTCAGAAAGCCCCAGTCTTGCGTCAAGGTGTCCTCTTGCGCATCCTCCTCCTGGACGGTTTAACCTCAGTCCCAACCTCCAAACCCTTCTTTGCCACCCGCCTGCGTGCCCAGCTCCTGCCTTGGGTCTGCGCAGAGGAATTCATCTCGTCCTCCCTCCTCGCTTCCAGCCGGGGGGGTTCCCAGGATGAAAACAAGCACAACAGAAGTCCCATTTGAACTAATAAAGCTCTCACCCCAAATTACACCACAGCAGCACTCTTGCAGGTGGCCTCGGATCTGCACCGGCCCACGATGGAGCCAATTAATCAAGGACGGCGGCAGGGAGGCGCGTGGCCGCTCGTAGACCGACTCGGCAGACCCCGTCCAGCCCAACACCGCGTCCACGGGCTGTGCTTCCCCGGTATAACACACTCAGCCAGAAACGAGGGTTACCGGGTCTTCAACAGCGAGTACGACGTGGTGCTTTGGCCCCATGGCTGTAGGGACGCTCAGACGAGCGGCTGGATGCCAGAGCCGGGATCGGGAGGGCAGAGCGGCGAAGCAAGCTGGGACCCATCTCTGGGGCACAGGCCACGTACTTGTGCGATATGGTTTGAGCGTCCAACACTGCAGGGTCCCGATCCCCATCGCTGCACTCATGCACAGGGCGTTTTGACGCCATGGGGTCCTGCTCCTCGCCTTTGATTTAGCTCAGAGTCAGAAGGGCAGAGCTGGCCTGACCCAAAAAACCCACGCTGGTGTTCCTCCGGGAGCGTAATTATTTAGGGCAAAGTACCGCTCCTGGGGCGATTACTGTACACTGCACAAAACCAAAGCAACCAGCCAGCGGAGGAGAAGCGTGGGACTAGCGCTGGACGATTTAGCTGCCATTTGAGGAC